TCCTGGGTCCAGATGAAGTCACGGTCCTTCTGCAGCAGGTGGAAGAGTGGTGCGGCTATGGAGGAAAAGCCCTTCACAAACCTCCTGTAATAAGACGCCAGTCCTAGGAAGCTTTTGAGCTGTTTCTGGTCTGCTGGTGTGGGCCACTCGGTAATGGTGTGAATTTTTTCCTCCAAAGTGCTGATGCCCTCACGACCCAGCTTGTGGCCCAGAAACTCCACCTCCCTCCTCATGAAGTGGCACTTGTCGGGATGCAGCTTCAGGCCTGCAGCCGCCACCCTCTCCAACACTTGTCTCAGGGCATCCAGGGCAGCATCAAAGGAGCTCCCGTGCACTAGAAGATCATCCAGGTAAACCAGACACCGTTGCCGTGGGACGCCAGCCAGCACACTGTCCATGAGCCTCTCGAAGGTCGCAGGAGCGTTGCAAAGACCAAAGCTCAGGACTTTGAACTGCCATAGTCCCCTGTTAGTGCAGAAGGCTGCCTTCGGTCTGGATTCCGGGGACAGTGGCACCTGCCAGTAGCCACTCCGCAGGTCCAGGGTGGAAAACCAGGAGGACCCGGCTACTAAGTCGAGGGACTCATCAATCCTGGGAAGGGGGTAAGAGTCTTTCTTCGTCACTTTGTTGAGTGGTCTGTAGTCCACACAGAAACGCATCCTAGGACTTTTTTTCTTAGGCACCATCACCACCGCGGAGGCCCACGGGCTATCAGATGGTTCTATGATGCCCGCCTTCATCATTTCACACAGCTCCCTGTCTGCAGCCTCCTGATGAGCCAGGGGCAGGCGGCGGGGGCGCACTTTAATAGGCTGGGCATCCCCGGTCTCAATGACGTGCTCTACCAAGTGTGTCAAGCCAACATCACTTTCTTTCAGGGCAAAAATGTCACTAAACTCTTTTAGTACCTGCCATAGACTCTCTTGCTGCTGTGGAGTCAGCCCCTCACAGTTCTTTGACCAGATACTCCTCACTGCTGAGAGCCTCTCCTCCTCCTCCTCCTCCGCTCGCTGTTCTGCTGGCGGGTCTGCAGGGGTCTCTGCGGTGGAGGTGGACGCCGCGGCAGATGCTGTGCAGACCGGGGGAGGAATAAGCGGCACCTTCTTCCCATCAGGGAGTACGAGGAGGCCTTTGCCTAAGTCCAGTACACCACCAATGGCTCGTAAAAAATCCAGCCCAAGGATGCAGGCGTCCTGCACGTCAGCCACCCAGGCAGCATAAGACACACCGAGGTCCCCCACCTTGAACTGGAACACTCCCTTCCCTCTCATTGGGGCCAGATCACCGGTCACAGTCTTAAGTTGCACGTTAGTCGGTTGTACAGCAGCTCCGGTTGGGACAATATCGGGTCGGACCAGCGTTGCATTGGATCCCGTGTCCAGCAGGGCCGTACAGGACACCCCGCAATCGTCACTGGAACATGGCAAAAGCCGCCAACCTGGGTCCAGCCCACAGTGATGGCCGCACCGGGTGGAGGTGGCGGTGGTGTGGGGATGTCGTTCTCCCAGGCCCGTGTACTCCCGCCTACACGGGCCCGTGGGCGTTTCCCTGAACCGCTGCAAGCTTGGGGCACTGCCTGATGAGGTGTCCGACTTGTCCACATCCCCAGCAGCTCTGAGGTCGGCGGTGTGGGCCAGCCCGAGGGGAAGGCGACTGCAGCGAAGCTGTCTGCACCAAACTGCACAGGCCCGCTGGCGTCTCCATCTGTTCCACAGGTGCTGACACAGCCCTCACCACGTGTGCGTCGTCAGCGCCCCCAGAGGATCCTGCAAGCATCTCCCTCTCCAACGCTAGCTCCAGGGCTGCACTGAGTGTGGCTGGCCGAGCAAGCTGAGTTTGCATGCGGAGCTCTTTAGGGCTCAGGGCCTGCAGGAACTGGTCCCGAGCTAACTCCGCCTGCACTGATGGTGGCATGCTGTCATACGCCCTCCGGCAAAGGCACTCGACTTCATGGGCCAAAATGCGGAGGGGCTCACCTGGCAATCTGCGTCTGTTGTGGAACTCCGACCTCAGCAGCACTGGTTGGTTATACTGCCCGAAGCGCCTCTGAAGTGCTCCGACCAGAGCATTATAATCTCCCCTCTGCTCCTCGGTCAGCAGCAGCAGGCATGCAGCTGCATCCTCACACAGGCACAAAGCCAATTGGAGAGCTTTATGTTCCTCAGACCAGCCAGCTGCAACAGCTAACAGCTCGAACTGTGCGATAAACACTTCCCATGGCGTCTTGCCGCTGAACTTAGGCGTTTTTATATTCGCTGCAGCTTGCTGGGCGCCGCCATGTTTGTTTACATCACGTGACGGCGCGCCAAGCGAGGTCGACTCCTTCCCGCCGGAATCGCGGCCGCTGTGCGAACAGTTCCCGAGCCTAGTCAAACCTGGAGAAAATCCAGCCTCTGCAGACAGCCGCAGCGCCGTTTCCCTCACTCCATGGGCGGGCGAGCGCGGACGAACCTCCCTCTCCTCCGTCTCCTTCTTAATCCCGCCCGGCAACATCCTCGTCTCGTAACGGCAAGCGTCGCCGGCAACAGGGTCTCGGGCGTTCTGGGGTTCTTTTTTCTTTCTTCACTTCTGACACCAATGCAACGTTCACAAGAACCAGACGGTTGGGGTCTCAGTTTGTCCGTTTATCCGGCACATAAGCCAGCGGGTTATTAACTCAGGGGGAAGCGCTCTCGAACTACACCTCTCTTCAGCCTGGCACACACACAGAACAACCAGGTCCCCCCACCCCTTCCTGTACACCACCCTCACTACTTCCTGCAGCCCAACCAAACATGAATCTTAAAGGAACAACAACAGTGTGCAGAGAAAACCAACATGTCACTGTCCAGTAACACTTAACCATCGTTACAATATATTAAGTAATCCAAAGTATTCAGAATACGTTACTGTCATTGAGTAACGTAACGGAATACGTTACAGAATACATTTTGGGGCATATATTCTGTAATCTGTAATGGAATACATTTTAAAAGTAACCTTCCCAACACTGGCCACCGCACAGCAATGTGTGACCAGCATGCAGAGGAGGTGCCAGGCTGTTGTGGGCATTTAGTGGTTCTTCCACATGTTACTGAGGCCCCTCTTTATTAAATGAGTAAGCTGTTAAACTGCCACTCTGTTTCATCAGCTTTCAATCATCCAGACATCCAATAAATGACACCAAACAAGCATCTACATCAGAATAAGTTGTTTGGCATTGACAGAGAAGATTTTGCAAGTTTTTCATGGGTACAACTCATCGACTCAACTCTGTTGCTCAACCCACAAATGCATTTTCCTTACAAATGTGATAACATGTAAAGGGCAATTGTGTCGGGCAGGGCCTGCGGTACCGTGCAGGGAAGGCGGACGCACCTGTACGGCATCTGCAATCACGCCCCGTCGACTTAAATATTGTACTGTCTCCTGTGGTTGGGGTTGTTGTGGTAATGTTGAGCAGCGGGAGAGCTGCAGCACTGTGTGCATTGTGAACAGCAACCGTGTGTGCTAATAAAGAATGCTGCAAAGCATGTTGATGTCACCGGGTCTGCTGTGGTCATTCACAGCAATAAATAGGCTTTCCAACAGTAAAAGATTGATTACCAAGAAGCGTTCTTACAACAAAGGAATAATCGACCAAACACAAATTTTCTTTCTTTTTGTGTACATTTCCTTTGATTTAAGAAGAAAGAAAAGACATTTGTAAGGCACTCCCAGTATGCTGAATGAAACTGCACTTTAAAATGATTGAGACAGGCTTGAACAGTGGCATTTTACCTGACTCTCAGCATTTTTCCTCCTCTCTCAAACTAAACAAATACAACACCATTAATCTATGGTGAGTCATGCCTGTTTCAGCCAGTGCAGGCAGTGGCTTGGGATCATGGCAGGTACTCTTTAAAAACAACACGGTTATGCTTGACGGTGATGATTTTGGGGAGTGTGTCGCGCCACCTTTTTCAGCATTAGCTGTCAAAATAAAAGTAGTGATTCTATAAAGAAAATGGACAAAATAACAAAACAACCGACATAACACTGGCGGAACCTGAAAGTAGAAATGTAGACAGCCATTGAGTATAAAAGATTTTTTTTAATCCTTTAATCTACTTGTGGGCAGGGAATATTCTCCTACTCCTACTTCATGTTTAAATCAGACTATGTTAGAATGCATTGTCACCAAATTTTCACAGCTCATCTCTGAGAAATGTGGAAACATTCAGTCATGTTGTTGTCTGCAGCAAAGGTCTAAAAATTCAAAGTGCTTGACTGAAGCTCATAAATTAAATTAACAGATACACCCCCCCCCCCCCCCCCCCCCCAAATACTCATCTAGCCACAGCAGAAAATGAATCTGCTGAGTTTATTGTTAAATGGATGTTCTAGTGAGCAGGATGTGAGTGAGGATTTAGTGCACCTTGAGGGAGTCCCTCTTTCCAAACTGAAAATGTGCTTCTGAGATCTCATCTCATATTAATTTGTCATGGAGAAGGTAGTCATACTGTTGCTCCACGCCGCCCTCTGGCTAACTCCTCGGTATTCGTCATCTTTCGGAGCTGTGAGCCTTTCGACGTCTTCAATCTCCAAGTGCTTGTTTCGCAATTTAACTTAGCTTGTTTTCCTCGGCCCTCCCTGCACCTCTTTGTCCCCCTCTCCCTCTCGATCTTCTCGTGTCCATCAGCTGTGACCTTACAACAATTACGCATCCTCCAGTGGGACAATTAAAACCGAGCTACCTTCCCGAGTGGAGAGGGGGAGAAAAAAAGCGGAGGAAATAATGATGCCGGATTCATTCGTGCAGTCGCCTGCCTTCTTTGAACTAGCAGTTCTTGAAGTTGAGAAGGCGACTGTTTTAGCAGCTCTGCCTGTGTTCCAGTGCCACTGCTATTCAAGGACACGCTGCCCTTCAGCAGCATTGTCCAACAAAATAAAAGCCGTCTGTTCTCTATTCAGCACCGGAAAATTCACTCATGTTGACGTGCCTGTCCTCTTTCAACCCTGCCCCTCCTCTGCTTTGACAGGTGCAAGTGCAATCTTCACGCCAACAGCTGCGTATATGACAAAGAGAAGTTGAGCTGTGAGTGTGAACACAACACCACTGGGCCCGACTGCGGCCGCTGTAAGAGGAACTACCAGGGGCGAGCGTGGAGTGCTGGCTCATACCTGCCCATACCCAAGGGCACCGCAAATATCTGTGAGTACACGCACACTCGAACACAAGCACACCTCTGACGTGTTGGCTAATTAAAAAGATGGATGACATGGCAGTGTAGGACTTTCAGGAGGTCTTATAGATCTCAACAAAATAATGGAAAATTTGTTGAATTAGTTTTTTAAAAAAATGCATCTACAGCGACAAGTGATAAAAGTCCAGTCCTAATTATCAGTATCCTGTGTGTCCTTTTAGAGAGTTCAGACGGTCGTTGCATTCAGAGATGCTGAGCTGTGGCGTTTCAAAGCAAAGTGAAGCAATTAACAGCATGCAAAAAAGATGTGTGTATGATTAGTGATGTTATGTTGAAGCAAATGTTTCCAGACCAGAGTGCAGTCTAGTTAAAAGACCACAGTGTAAATAGGATGTTGTTCTCTCTTCTACAGCTCTGTATTCTAGAAAATGTCCTTTTCTCGACCACTCTAATTAGAGTGAAGTGAAAGAACCTGCACTACGTCCTCTGGAAGCTCGTTATACGCTGATGCAGCCTGTGCAAAAAAAGAATCATTTTTCTCCCTTTTTTTAGAGAAACGTGGGTAGCACTTTAGCAAACTAGTGTAAGTCCCCTGTAATTAACACTTGAAATTACAATGTAATTTTAGTTACCTACAGATATTTAAAGCTAGGTACATTAGAACAAGGGAATAATAAGTCAGGTTTTTACAGGAAACAAAGAAATAATTATACTGTAGGTAAATATAAGTAGTGTGTAACTTTAGGTATTTTACAGGAAAGGAGTATTTAAGTATTTAAGTATTTATTTATTTATTGTCATTGTCAAGAACAATGAAATTGCGTTTGGGGCTTCCATACAACCCAAAAAAAAGAAGAAAATAATAAATACCCCTTAAAACCCAAGTGTACATATTTAACCCAGTGTGACTCCAATGCAATAAGACAATCCTTAGCAATAATGTTCGTAGAAATTCAGACAAAGACCTGAGAAACATGACAAAATACAACAATGCAACCCATTCAATATTATTGTACTGTGAGATATGATATCAGATATGATAGTTATCTATTTAAGAAAGAGGGGGGGGGGGGGGGGGGGGGGCAGGAGGGGGAAGAGAATAAAGATATGATGCACCAATGCAGACCAGTTCATTGCTATTAAGAAGTTGGATATGGTTATTGTCCGTGAGAGGGGGCAGAGAGTTCAGGAGCCTCACAGCCTGTGGATACAGGCTGTTGGCCAGTCTGGATGTTCTGGCCTGTATAGACCTGTACCTTCTCCCTGAGGGCAGCAGATGGAAAAGGTGGCGCGCAGGGTGATGTTGGTCCCGCAGGATACTGTGCACCCTCCTCAGACAGCGAGTGGGGAAGATATTACTGATCTCTGGCAGACTTGTTCCAATAATTCTGCCAGCTTCACAGGAGACACAAATAATACTGTTTAACTACTGCTTAAGTAAATTGAAGTACTGTGTAGTTTCTTGGTAATTTTGCAGAGAAACAAACAGTATTTCTCCAGCTTATATTGCAAGCACACTCAACACTTAACAAGTATGTTTTTTGAATATGTATACATCTTTATATAATATTCATTATGCATGATGGTGCTCTATTATTTAACTTGTATTTTACCACATAAATGTGATAAGGGCCGTTTTCCCTTACTAACTTACAAGAAAAAGAAAGCAACAACAAACAGACTTTGCAGGACTGTGTGATCTTTAAATGATGGAGTCAACTTTGTTGTCTTTTATCATCACTGTCCAAGCATAACTTTGAAAAGCAGTGTTGAGGGAAGTATTGTCTGCTTTCCTGTAAAATACCTGGAAGTTTAAGCAAAGTTAAGTCACTCCAAACAAATTATGCAGCACTTAAAATTACTTATAGAGTAATTTGTGTCTCCTTTTTTGTAAAAAACAAAAACAAAAACAAAACAAAACAAAAAAACAACCCCCCCAAAAAACTTGAAGTTCCAGTACTTAAAACTACTCATGCACTACCTAAAATTACTAATAAAATATTAACAGTGCAATTATTTCTTATTATCTCCTTATTCTAGTGTGCCTACCTTTAACTATCCACGCGTAAATTAATTACAATGTAATTTCCAATAAAATACATTGAAATTTCATGTAATTACAGCACTCTTAGTCGTGGGCCATATTATTAAGTACTACTGGACAACATTAGTGGAATTTATTTAAAGGATGTTAAATCTTCTATGTTGTTCCAAAAGAGGATCACAGGTTTAACTGTGGTATCATCTGGTATCTGTGAACCTTTCTTAACCTGTCCACAGGTGACAGCCCTTTGACACTTGGATTAGTTTAGTAGCTCTTGTGTAAACTCGTTTTCTATCACTTTTTTTGCTTTAATTTAAGAACGAAACTAAACTAGCAACCAGCCCAGGGCGGTAAGTAAAAAACCTGTCACTTTCAGAGACACTTAAATCACCTTTCTTCAATATTCCCAACGCTCAGTTTGATATTTGACCATGTCTGCTTGCACTCAATCGCTACCATGTGATTGGCTAATTAGAGATTTACTGTCAGGTAAACAGGTGTACCTAAGAAACTAAATGCACCTGCTCGCTGATGAAATTCTACGTGGCGCATTGTCAACAATAAAGGTACTGATGAGGTTTTGCATCGCCTCTGTAGATGTCAGACTTACGGGCCTGTAGTTTTCCCGTTAACAGTGTGTGCCCTTTTTCATACTTCTTTCCATCCTTCAGGCAAAATTGATTTTTCTTGATTATATAAATCTGTGGGAGGTTCAGCAACCACATGATTATTTTGCTTAAAATTCTAAACTGCATTACAACTTTATTAGTTATAAACTTTTATTTCTACTAAACAGGAATTTCGAGAAGTTGCAATAGAACAGGCTGCTTACAAAGTTATGTAACGTTAGGCTAAATACAAACCAACACACACGTGTGCTCCTTTACTTTTTCATGCTTTTGAAAAATTACATCTTGGCTGCATTGTGTTGTTCAGTCCTGCTCAAAAGATGCAAGGAGTTCATAGTGGTCAGTAGGACCGCATTAGTTTGGCCCTTTAACCAGGACTGTAGGGCCCAGTTGGACCTGACAGCACAGCTCCTGGGATCACTCAGGCATACAGACCTCTTCACCATTGTAAGGTAGGAATTTTTGGAGATTGGATGAGGAGCTTAGTCATTCATGGGGAGCTCAGAGTAAAGCCGCTGCTGCTCTGCATTAAAAGTAGCCAATGGGGTAGCCACTGGCTACTTTTAATGCGTCTCGCTAGGGATGCCTCCTGGGCGTCTCAAAGGTGAGATGTTTTGAGCAGACTGAGGATACGCTGGAGAGACTGTGACTCTCAAACGGGTTGGGAAAACCTCGCTATCCACCGGAAGCGCTGGAGGCGTTGGTCAGGGGGACGAAGGTTGGGGCGGCTCTCTGCGATTTTGAAATGCGCATTTAGCAGAAGGCTTCTCTACTTTTGATCCCGAGGTGTTTTCGGAAACACAAAGGAATGTCACAATTAAAAAGTAGAATGCTAACAAATGTCGCCAATGGGGAAATTGTGCATCCAGACTGCATAATCTCATATTGTTATATTTTGAAGTGGGCTCGAGCTTTCCACTAATAAACAACACAGATTACAGTTAATAAATAATGTTGTTAAGCTGCAGCTGCGATGCTAATGTAGAACAGAGGCAATTACTCCTGCTCGAGCTGAAGTAAGTGGGCCAACCTCCTTTTGTCTAATGCGTTGGCATGACGTCACATCACATCTTCTTCTCACAGAGCCTGAAGAACATTTGCTGGTGTGGACCCATGTTTTATATCTGACTTAATGCAAGGACAACAAGGAATTCTTTGTTTTACACTTTTGAATACTTTTTGTTTTGCTTTTCAAATGCAGTTTTGTGGATGAACCAACTAGTGAACTGACATCAAACCTCGGCAGTTGGTAACAAACCACAGTGCAGACAAGGGAACAAAATAACAATGAGGAGTGAAAATTAGTCCTGGGTTCACCAGGTGGCCAGAGTCATGACTTCATTTGAAAGCTCTCCTTGCTGTGTAAGGTGATGAAATGAAAATGCTTTGTTCTCAGCTTGCTCCCGCTGCCCCCCAGCAGCCAAATGATCATCATCACCTTCATCACATTAATCATAATTAATTGATTTTAAAAATGTGAGTTTAAGAAAGTTTGTTGAATCTCACTTGCAGCCCTGAGCAAACCTCAGGGAAAGAAGTATACAACTGCATGAAGGCAACTGTTTGTAATATTGGAATTTACAGTAAAACTTCCCTTGCCAAGAAGGAGAAATACAGCAGTCTATGAGCTTGAGAAATATGGAATATATTATCATTTCATGGCCTCTTTCCCCCCAGACTTTTACTGCTCGCTGTTTATTTTGTTCCTAAACTGAAAGGCAGGAATGTGTGTTCTTCCTGGGGTACACACACAATATGGGAAGTACTCTGTTCATACAGCAGTTTAGTGTCATTGAAATGAGGGGCTGGGAGATGATCCGGGTACTGCGTCTCACCTTTAGACTTTCTGCTGTTAGCAGACTTCAGTGTGTAAATAGGCGATGGATCTGTGAGTGTATTTAACAAAACAATTAGCACAAAAACAGTGAGTATCAACTGCCCCTCGTGAACACAGGCTCCAGAGCAGCCACTACTACTCCCTTACATCATTTCCAGAAAGAGTGATGAGCAGCAGGGCTATAACTTTGAGTGCCGTGGCATTAATATGAAAGCCCAACTTTTATTCCACCCTGTCTCCTTATTGCATCCGCTGTGATTTCTGCCTTTCTCTGCGGCGCTCGAGGGCTCCCGGCCGCCGGCCACTGATGACTTATTCTACCTCCCAGAGGATCCACGTTATGAGACTTAGGGAGGGTTAGTGAAATGCCCATTCCCAGAGCCCAGATTGACAGCACATTATTAAAAAAGGTGACACTCACACACACACAGGTGATCATCCAGGCCTGCATGCACACAAACATACACACATTCATAACTACACAAGGACACACTCACG